GCAGAAACCTCAGTCATGAAGTCCCACGAAGTCTTGAAAGTCTTTCGAAGTCTTCTGAAGTCTCTTGAAGTCGTATGAATTCTCATAAAGTCTCTTGAAGTCTCTGAAGTTTCATAAAGTCTCGTGAAGTTTCATGAAGTCTTTTGAAGTCTCTTGAAGTCTAATTAAGTCTCATGAATTCTTCTGGAAGTTTTGAAATACATTTAGTGCATAAAAATTCATAAGAAACCAATGAAATTGTCTTGTTTTCGACGATCTTATATTAGCAGAAAGGTGTACTTTTTATTGTTTTTTTTCAATATAGTGTAAAGAAATGCAAGCTTGTTTGATTTTAGAAAACATGATAGTTAATAACTGAATGCTTTTTGAATGAAGTGGTTTATTTTTATAAGAAATGTTCCATCTATCCAATATCAGACTCGTGGAGACTTTAATCCTTTTTGTTTGTTTCTATCACTCCTGAAATCTATCAGCCGATAAACGGCTAGCTTTGTCGGTCAATAACCAACAAGCCGTTTGCTTGTGTATAAATTTAGTCTTGTTATCTATTTGCACCTGAAAATAGGAGTTTTTTAATGTTGGATTAATCGAATCAAATATACACATACCAGTAAAGTTTATTTTCTCAGTTTTAATTTCATCAACACTTTCTGTCCTTGACACATCTTTATTCTAGATATAGATGTACTGCGAGAAACAATTCTCAGAAACAAGAAACACTTTTGTAATCTCTATATGATAAGTTTTATTTTTTGCATGTAACAGAAGTTTCATGCAATTTCTATCAGGGTTCTTGATACACATGGAATCTGCCTCTTGAAGTCCCGTGAAGTCTCCTGAAGTCCTATGAAGTTTTGTGAAGACTGGCGAAGTCTTGTGAAGTTTTATGAAGTCTTGTTAAGTCTGATGAAGTCTTATAAAGTCTGAGGAAGTCTCACAAAGTCTCTGAAGTCTCTCAAAATCCGTGAAGTCTCATGAAGTCTCTGAAGTCTCACGAAGGCTTTGAAAGTCTTTTGAAGTTCTCTGAAGTCCCATGAAATCATATGAATTCATATGAAGTCGTTTGAAGTCCTATGAAGTCTTCAGAAGTCTATAGAACTCTTTTGGAGTCCTGTGAAAATATGAAGTCTCTATGGCTGAAGTCAGTTCAAATCTTTTGAAGTCGTGCAATCTTGAAGTCTGCTGTTCCCCCCTTTGTTTAACACCTAAAGCAAATGGTTATAACTTTCAAAAGAAGACTTATGACTGCTCGTTCTTTTGAAGTCGCTCATACTCTACTCAAATCTATCTGGCATACAGAGCTCGAACTGAAAACCAATTTGACAGCTATATAGGGTTTCTCGTTCGTATTCTACCAAAATTCTGGTAATATAAGGGTAGCTTTCGAGGGAAGAGCTAATGAAAGGCTTCCATCTAGGGTTTTTCTTATCTCTACGAAGTCTACCTTATATATAGAGGCTCAACTCGAAAACGCTTTATCATTTCCAAGGGCTCCTTCGTCAGACACGAAACGAAAACTATTACTTAGATCAAATCCGTCGATAGACCCTCCTCAAAAAAAAGGACGAACTAAAAGCAACAAGCTTACCTGCATATCAGGATCGCGCACTCATCCACGGCCAACAAATAATAAGATATTCGCCGAAATAAATAACACATAAAAATGAAGATCTAACTCGACTCTAAAACACAAAAAGAATCCTTTATTAAACGAAATGAACTTACTCCTAAGTTGGATATTCACATCGATCTACAACAGAAATTTAAAAAATCATTTAAAGACGTAAAATTACATGAGAACACCCAATAAAGATCCGTCCACCATGGAACGAAATTCAAACATGCACTAAGTGAAACTGCCACTAAATAAGAAACTGGAATCAACCTATAATAAAAATCAAAAATGTTCTTTAGAAAAAAAACTTACATTAAAAAAAAGTCACCACGATAAACCTAAAAAAATCAGGAACCTATTAAGAAACACAAACTCCAACCGCATCAAGCTACACGCACCGTTTCCCAAACGACGCTTGATGTAACTTACCCTGGTCCCCATAACTATCCACGAGCTAGCTACCGCAAGCCATTATGGTTCTCGAAATCCTAATCAATCCCGATTCTAAAAACTCTGTATGACCTTACTACTCTGGACCTTATAAATACGGATCGCCTACTCATTCGTGCTCCTCGATATAATGGATGACCTCACTAAGGATAATTCTTATAAATATCGATCATCTACTCATTGGTAGTCCTTCATATAGTAGACAAGCGAGAGCCTGTGCATACTGCACGGATGCTTTTTTCCTGTAAAGTTTCACATCTACCCTTTAGCCTTGATTCGGTAATGGACAATCAACCAGTTCGCATTATATGTAGAGAGAGACCTTATAGCCTTATACCCTCTTCCTCTTACACCTTTATAGCCTTATACTCTAGCGGTATTACCTCTAATAGCCTTATTCCGTTATCCCCTTATCCCTTATAACCCATGCAGCCTTATACACTTATCCCCTATAGCCTTATCTTATTATCTCCTGAACCCCTTATCCCATATCCCTTATAGCCTTACGGCCCCTGTGAATCAATGGGTACTTCTACATAATAGCTCTTGCGGCTCTATAAGTATCCTCATATAATAGTCCTTGAGGGGCTATGGATATCCTCATATAATAGTCCTTGAGGGGCTATGGATATCCTCATATAATAGTCCTTGAGGGGCTATAGATATCCTCATATAATACCTCATCAGAACCTATGGGTACCTCCATATAATAGCTCTTGAGGGCCTGTGCGTACTTCTATATAATACCTCTTGAGGACTTATGGGTACCTCTATATAATAGCCATTGAAGACTTACGGGAACCTCCATATAATAGCACAGGAAAATCTATGGGTACCTCTATATAATAGCCCTTGTGGACCTATGCGTATCTCCATATAATAGGGTGTGGGTGTGGGTGTGGGTGTGGGTGTGGGTGTGGGTGTGGGTGTGGGTGTGGGTGTGGGTGTGGGTGTGGGTGTGGGTGTGGGTGTGGGTGTGGATACTTTGATTATCCACAACCACACCCCACACGCACATCCACACCCACACCGACACCCACACCCACACCCACAACCACACCCACACCCACACCCACACCCACACACCCACACCCACACCCAGCCACTAGCCACCCACACCCACCCATTCACACCCTTATCTGTTCTGTACATGTTTTTCCATCGAATTTTATTAAAATATTTTTGGCTAATGGTCAGAATTACCCTTTGAAGATCTCAGCATGAGCGATGGTAATGGACCACGCTGAATCCGAATATGTTATTTTTATTCACCGAGAACATAATCCTTTTCCATCAATTTTTATACATATGGTAGACAGCAAACGGATTAATTCAGCTTGAAAAATGAAGCTCATTCTACTGGATTGGATTAAGTGTCATACACTTATGCGATTTTCAAGAAAAAGAAATTAAAAAAAAAGATTCATTTAAATATGAATTAAGCAAAAGAACGCTTCAGATGACAGAAAATATTTTAGTCGTCTAATAAATTGTTAAATTTCACAACTAATTTTGATATTCAGAATTTATAGAATTTTTATTATATAATTAAATCTTTAAATAATCTTTTAATTATGAATTATCATCGTGAAGAATGTTATACACTCTTCTCAATATATGTACACGAAGTTTTTCTTTTCGTTCTGTCGTAAGCTTATATATATATATATATACGTCATCGCGCATGACTGAACAAAAGAAGAAACTAAAGCAAGAACAAAAAAGTTCTTCTTGCAAGGAATTTTGTTTAAACGAATTTTGCTTGGGACTGCACTACACGCCGCGCTCATATTCTAGAGTAATATTCAGTTTTTTGCACTCTTTCCAACAATACCAATCTTACGTGTTAGACTTTTAGAAATTTTTTTTCGACGGTTTGATATGAATATCATTCACTTTTTTGTTAGATACACAAATTATAAATCTTATGATGGCTGCCAATCATAGACATCAGTCAACTATTAGACATACACAAGTGTTAGTTAATCAGTATTAGTTTGACGAAGTATCGCACTGACAGCAATATTATTTCAAGTACCATCCAATTAAGGGACCATCAAGTTTACTTTTTACGACGTTGACTGCTGCTAGTTGACAAATACGAAATGCGTATTTTCCTATCCGAATACATTTTAACTGATGACTCAATTTACACTGGTTTGCAGCTAACTGTTACTGTGTATAACTGATTCATAATGATCAGGATTGTTCTACCAAATCATTGGCTCGATTAGTACCACAATAACAAAAAATTTCATAATGTACAAAACACGGTGTAAGTCAATTTGAGTGTGGATGTAGATGTGATCGTATTACAGTCTTCTGTTCATTCGTATTTTATTTATCCTCAACCACATCGACACCATACACACATATGTTCATAGATTGAAAACTAATAAAAAATCATAAAGATGATGTTCGTTGCATCGATTTCTTTGGCATAGATCTGACGTGTTGTTAATGTTAAAGTCGGACAAGTAACAAAGCCAAAACGTTTTATTGAAAGTATGCGTAACATTATCAATCAGATGAAATAAATGCAGTAAAATCGAATGGTTCATATAAGCGTGTTAAGTTATATCATTTTAAGCATCAATTAAGAATAAATCGTATCATAAGTAAAAGTCATAGACAATAATCATGATAGCAGTATTTCGACTCATTTCTCTTATAACTCTAGTAAGATTGACAATCATTAAACTATCATTGATATTTTATTTTAAATCTTGGGGTGAGGATGGGTGTGGATAAAGAGGATAGCCACACTCGCACCGACACGCACACTCACATCCGCACCCCACACCCACCCATCCTGAATACCTGATACATCAAGTTTTTGTTCATTATTCATCATAGAATTGTCGTAATGTTCACACAAACAAAAACATTAATCATTACTAATATTGTCTCATAACTCATATTTCACTTTTTTTTGTTATTGTAATTTTCCACCTAACAGAAAAACATACAAATGAAAAGAAAGTAATTTTTTGTTAGGACCTTTTATTTCATAAAAAAAGAATAATAAATTGCTGTTTGTTTTCATTAATAGGCGCCCCTAAAAGATTAACTAAAACGATCAGTCTTTAAAGAGTTACTGTTTTTTCTTTCTATTTCAAGGTGACTATAATAAAAAAATAAATAAAGTATTTGAAATAAGATGCTGTCTTGGAATTTTTCCGTGCTACAACTTATAGCGTATGTCTGGATGCTAAAGACAATGAGAAAACAACATTCAAAAATAAGAAAATCAGATACAAACTGACCCAATCACAGGGTTCTGTGATAGCTGCTTCTTGTTTATACTTGTCTGGTGATAAATGAATTCGTCGGTCATTTTCTAACTTTAAACAAATGCGCAAAATAAAAGTAACAATCAAGCTGATGGCTATGATTCCACCACATATAAAATGTCCGCGTCGATATACTAGCTCATCATCATCATCATCAGGATACACCTAGGGACAAAAACATCACCATTAATATTGTTTCAAAGTCAAATGAAATTTCGATTGACATGTTAAAGTTTGACTTAATACGTTATTCTGCAAGTTTTCAGAAGCAATAGTCTTACCTGAGGCGCTAAAACTCCGCCAATCTGACCGATACCTACAAGGAAACCGACAGCCACGGCTCTCTTTGTACGACCACCGACATTATTTGTTAACCAAGAGAGTAGTATAGGAATTCCAGAGAATGTACCACAACAAGCAACACAAGTACTGACATATAATGCCACGTTGCCTTGATCAAACAAAGTAATCATTAAGATGAATCCGACCAGAGCGATTGATAGACAAAATGCAAGATGAAAACTGTGTTCGTTTTGACGTGATGATGAATAGCCCGCTAGCAAACAACATATGCATGCCATAAAATAAAGTGGTATTGTCATTAAATGTACTTCTTTGGAGTCACTCATAGATTTGACAAGTTCCGGAAGATACGTTGTCACACATTTGAAAACGCCCAAATCGCCGATAGCAATTATGACATACAAATATATTCGCCAATCAATAAAAACATACCGCACTTGCTGCCACGAAAGTCGAGTACTTGATACAGGCTCACTGTTGGCTAAACCTGCATCTTCGCGAAGAAGATTCGTTAATAACAGTTTTTCACAATTATTCAACCCTCAATTTTTAAAATAATTTAGAATATTTTCTACTCTTCTTTTAACTCTTACATTGAACAGTATCGGGTATACTGCCAAGAAAAAGATAGGTCATAACACCGAGTGGAATGATCGGCAAGCCTTCAAATAAAAACAACCATCGCCAATTCTTCAGACCGCCAATATCTTCCATATGACTAATACCATATGCCTAAATTAATGACAATCGTTGATTCGATCAATTCAAAATACGGTGTATTTTTTTATGAGATCCACAAGTACGTACTAGAATGTCATCTAGAACACCGGCAGCAAAGACTGCTCCAAACAAAATAGCAAATCTCATAATTTGCTCTTTTTTGCAATACCACAAAGAGAAATAAATGATAGTGCCAGTAAAAAAACCAGATTGAATCATGCCCTTCAATGACGATTTCGATATGTTTTGTTATCAGTCAAGATTGAATTAACTTACGAGAAGAAAGCGAGTAATTAGCAGTTGTTGAGAATTTTTCACGAAAGCCATACCAACAGTGACGCCACCCCATAAAATCAAACTCAACGACAGATAACGAGTCGGACCCAAACAGCGCAGAAGTAAAGTACTTGGAATTTCAAAGATCAACTGGAAGAAAAAATATATTAGAATACTTCGAAGTCCAGTTACATCATTTTCTCACAAAGGAAAGATAAAATAGTGAAATGGTCCAATTCATAGCAGATGATGACATACGTAGTTCGTCTTTAATGTTCATCAATTTGGCGTGACCTACGAGAGTAGCATCAACGAATGAATGATTCAATTCAAAGACACATACCGATACTAAATCGATTGATGTATGAACTAATCTCGAGGAGAAACAGAAATGGTATGAGTCTTCGATCGAGCTTCCAAACAAGGCGACGAATAGCGATAGCTCTGAATTGTTGCTCAGTGTTTTGATTGATAACAGGGATGGTGACTATCGTCGCCACAACTGCTGGTGTCGGTTCCTCTTCCATCGATACTGCAATCGCGATCAAAGTCTGTTATGTAAGGTTATCCTTTGTAAAAGTGTCAATATTCTCCTTCTCGAAATCATTCCCTCTCTTTTTTCACCTTTATATATATTGCATGCCTCTTCCTCTTTCTAATGCTCACAGAAGTGACTCATTGATGTGACATTATATCAAGCATTACACGTAGCTTGTTTGCCAATTGCTGGATGACTATGAAATACATGGTGAATCCTGCAGTAGTAATTGTACTCATAAATTCCTTGTCAAATAAACTTATTATTGTGATATAGAAAAAAACACCGATAATAGTTGAGACGCTATTTGACATCAACTTTTTTTACGTTTGTCAAAAATCATCAGTCACTACCCAGTGAAAAATATTTCAAAAAAAGTCGGAAAAAAACGCGTTCATCAAAAACTGGAACGCGATCTTGTAAGTGAAGAATGGATTCTTTACTTTGTAGAACGCGTTCATCAGCAATAAAAGTACGTTCTGTATCTAAAGGAACGCATTCTTTACCGTTCCATACATTTTTGGAATGCTTTCTTCTCAGTTCCAAATCGTTCTTAGTCTTGATGGAAAGCGTTCTGAACCGTTCCAATCGCTATTAGAATAGTTTCTTTTCCGTTCTATTTTAGAACGGTCAAAATAAGATTCTATTAAAATGAGAAAGCTTTCTTTAGCTTTGCTAGAGGAATATGTAAGAATGGGTTGTTCGAAAGGATGAATGCGTTTCAGGCAATTTAACATCGTCCTTGAAAAGAAAAGAACGTATTCTTTGTCATTCTACAAACTTCCGAATCTTCTCGTGGAGTCAAGAACAAATTTGGAAAAAATAGAATGTTTTCTCGGCATTTCAAGACTTCAATAAAATTATTCGCCACATTGAGAAAAAATAGTCACTTATAACAAAGATATATTGAAATAGGGAAAAATGAACAAAAGCCAATAGTGAATCATACAATGATAAGTCATATAGACCATATACTGTGAGGGCCAATAGAAATCCCCCCTTCTGTTTTTTTTATTTTTGTTACTATAACTCTTTTATTTTTTAATTCGCTATATATAGGGAGAAAGCCCAGAACGCGCTGCATCTTTTGATATATTAACGTTGAACATCAGTTGCAGTTTAGGGGATAAAACCTATATTAGAAAAAAAAGTGACATTTTTTTTCACTACATTTTTGTATTTTGCACATATCTCGGCTTAGGAAAATGATATAACGTTGAATTTTTTTACAAAAGATGCGCCATGAAAAGCTGTGTAAAAAGCTGTATGGTTGATGTCCTTTTGACCTGTTATAATGGTTTTTCTTATATTCAAAATGAACAACATGCATAACATTGTTACTTCTTATCATATTGAAAATTTTTGAGACTTTTTTGTGTTTCATATATCTCGACTTGAGAAAATAATAGAATATTGAATTCATTTTTAAAAGATGTGCCATCAAAAGCTCTACAAAAGCTGTATGAAACAATTCCTACAGCGAATCAGAAAAGTCTTTCAAACATTTTCAATATGATGGGAAGTAACACTGTTATGTATGTTATTCATTTCGAGTATAAGAAAAACCATTAGAACAAGTCAAAAGGAAATCAATCATACAGCTTTTTATAGAGCTTTTCATGGCGCATCTTTTGGAAAAAAATTCAAGGTTTTATTATTTACCGAAGCCAAGATATATGCGAAATCAAAAATGTTAGAATATTATGGACATCCGGTATTGTAGTGAAAAAGATGTCACTTTTTTTTCTAATACATTTTTTATCCCCTAAACTGCGGCTGATGTACAACGTTAATATACCAAAAGATGCGGCGCGTTCTGGGCTTTCTCCCTATATATAGTGAATTAAAAAATAAAAAAAGTATAGTATAGTAACAAAAACAAAAAAAAACAGAAGGGGGGATTTCAATTGGCCCTCACAGCACTTGAAGATAGATGTCATCAACGACATCTATTTTTATGATTCTTTAAAATAAGTGATAATGTTAAATAAAATAATTCATCTTCAAAAAATAAAGAAAAAAAATTATTTTTATCATCTAGTAAAGAGAGTTAGTTTTTCTTTAGTTTTCATTCCACCTTAATAAAAAAAGTCATTTTTCTCATCTCGGACAGATAGAGTTAGTTTTTCTATAGTTTTATTCCATTCTAATATAAATAATCATTTATCTCAACTAGTACAGATACACTTTGTTTTGCTTTAGTTCTATTCCATTTAAATATAAATAATCAATTTTTTCACTTAATACGAATAGAGTTTGTTTTTCTTTATTATTCATTCCATGTCAATAAAAACAAAATCACGTTTCTCATTTAGTAGAGATAGAGTTGTTTTTTCTTTAGTCTTTATTCCATTTTAATATATAAATAATCAGTTTTTTCACCTAGTAGAGATTGAGTTAGTTTTTCTTTCTTTTTCATTCCATCTTATTAGGGGTACTGCATTAGTATTGCATTGATTTTAATGCTAACATCAATTTTTTTTGTTACAATCCTAAGACAAAAGTATTGCACTTTGTCTTGATTAATGTAATGTTAAAGCGAAGCGGCATTCCTGACTAGTTTTCAAGGATTTTGTTACAATTGGACTACAAAAACGTTGCAGCTACTGACAAACTAATTCAACAATTAGTTTGTCAGTAGCTAATCAGTTTTTTCACCTAGTAGAGATTGAGTTAGTTTTTCTTTCTT